AACTGGATCATTAATTTGCAAATAAATTTACCATTCAATAACTTTGGCAAAGGTGAGCTCCAGCAATGTAATCATGGAATAGAGAACCCAATATGTAAGCCATTGTCTGTCATCGGCACGAGACTCCGACTCAATTGCCCTAACGGAGGCATACCTGTTCAAGAATTTAACACCACAGAGCAATTAAATCAAGCCAAGAAAATCTCAAATTCAGGCAACTACTGAAATACATTTAACAAAAACAAATTAAACCCAAAAAAAAAATGAAAAACACTTACAGAGGATACAGAAGACTAATAACTGGCCTGAAAAATCAAACCAAAAACGATATTAGCAAAGAATAATAAAAAAAAATCATAAATTAAAGATACAAATTTGGATGTGTCAAATTAATTGAAAGTAGACACCAAGCCTCAAAATCTGATTTTCACTTAGTTCATTGATTAAATTTATAATTTTCCTTTAATATTCTTAAAGCAGTAGCAAAATACATACCCAACTCATTAGGTGCTTTATTCTTTGTTGAAGCAAAAATTTAATAAAAAAAAAAGAAAGTAAAGTAAAGTTGATGAGAGAGAAGAAGAAGAGCGAAGAGGAATTACCCAGCAAGAACATCAAAGTTCTTAAGAAGAACCTTCAGAAAACTTGCAGCCCCAGATCCCATGAGTGATCTCCAATGCCCTTTTTTTGTTTGTTTGTTCCTTGTGCTGTCTGATCTCAAAACTAAACAAAGCGGAGGGCTTAGCTGTGTTTTTGTTTTTGGAAGGGACAAGAGTGTGCAAGTCCTTTAAGTTTTTGGTGTAAGAAAGCAGATTACGGAGGAAGTGGGGACAAGCTTACAAAAAGAAGCAGCCGGTTGTAAGATAATTATTCCCTGCTTCGGGTAGATGGGCGGTGTGGTGTAATAATCATATGGAGCATATTTCACATTGAACAAAACGGACGGCTGACGTTTCTTCTTTTCTACCCCCAGGGAAATTACAATCAAGGGACTTCCTATTATTGGAATCCCAGAGTTGGCACTTCCTCCTACCAAATCCGGCGAGTTCTGAAAGTAAAGGCCAGAAAGCCTTGGAATTCAGTGAGGCTTTGGCCCACAGGGGTGACCTAACCATAGTTCAATTTTTGGCTAAACAGCAAGAGTTTTGTTGCACCAAAAAGGTAGTAATTGATTTTGTTGTCAGATTAACTCCCCTCGCTTTCACATCTGAATCAGCATTTGCCACATAACTCTTTCATGTTCGGTTATTTCAATGCCTTGAAAATGTTACTTTTGTGAGTTTATGGGGTAGCATAGCATGAATAAAATACTATTTGACTCATCAAAATTCATTCACATGTACAAGCTTCCCAAAGTGGGGCAATCCTAGTTTAACCCAACGCAAAGGTGTGGAAATTTTGCATCAAGTAAAATTTACAAGTTAGCTGCGCCTCTATCCCCACTTCTGCTAATGTCATCAAGTCCAAACTCATTCCTAATTGCCGACTGCTTCCCAAGAAGTTGAGAAGGCCAAGAATCCGCCGGAGTGGGATACCGAGCATGTGGTTTGCTAACAATGGAGTTAGTCTTACCCGTAGGTTGCATGGAATCAGGCACGGGATAGGCCTGGATATCTGGATGAATGGGAACAACAAGGAGAGCAGATGCTTGTTGCAAAGCAGGTTCTACAGCAGGCAAACCAGGATGATCTCCACGAAAATGCGATGACAATTCTGATTGCTGAAAGCCAAGAGGAGGTTCGTTCAAGTCAGGTTTAGATTGGGCCACCCTCGTCCCTATCTCACTTTGCAGTTTCTGAATTTGAGTTTGCAGGGTGGAATTCTCCTCCTTCAGCTCATTCTTCTCAATGCTCACCTGTCCACATTTCCAATGACCAAGTGGTTGTACAAAAACATGCATCAGTAAGATAGGGGACCCTTTTTCTACATTCAGCAAAATTATCAATGACAAGTTTAGGGGTGTTACATAGTTAGATTCGGATAATAGACAAGCATTCTCCTTTTTGAGGGTCTCAATTTGACCAAACAAGTCCTTTAATAGTCGAGTTGCTTCGCACAGAATAAAGGCCTTCCCATTGTTCGGCTGGTTTGGATCTGCACAGAAATTTCCTTAAGTAAGAAATAATACAATCTCTGAACACCTCAAAAAAGGACTGAACCTACAAATCAAAACCAATGCTAATCATTAATGATAATCATTTCTATGATAGCATTGAAACAAAGTTCTATTAAGTCTTGAAGACGGATAAGCTGAAACAGGAAATTAACAGGAACATCAATTAAGTTACCAAGAGCATTTGCAAGGTCAAGGAAGAGCTCATTCAAATGCTCACGCTTGAGCTTCTCCCTCTCAGCCTTGTGAATTCTTCTGGGAACCTTTCCCTTGGTCTTTGGAGCACAAGACCTGCATCAAAAACAGTTTTCAGACAAGAAAAACTTGCTGCTCTCTTCGACAATTCAGGCACTCCATATGCATATTTTAATTGCAGCCAGAAGCAGTAAATTCGGGAAATGCTTAAATGCATATGTCATCGACAAACTATAAACTGAGAAAATCAAGATAATCTAATATCATTCCAAATAAAATATGCAGTTATGCAGAACAATTATGGAAAGATTAGCTACACAAGGCTCACTTAGAGAAAAAATTGACGCATCCCATACATCAGACAATGACGCATGGACAAGCAGCAAGTTGCACAACTAAAAAGCATCAAAAGGTTTGAAACTAAAATATAAATAAAGATTAATAACCTCAGAAATCAGCTGGAAAATCATATCAGACACTGATGTATTAATTTGCTAACTAAGTTTAAAGCCTCAAAACTACGATCAGTCATATCTCTACTGTCCCCTTTTAAACTGACTAAGCATATGATCATTATGAGTTAGGGCTCGCAACATTGAAGCATATGGTTTTAAAATGTAAGCCATAAATTTAGACACAATCCAATAATTACAGAAGACAGGTAAGCAAAGCTCCTAAGATCTTCAAAGACTAACCTGCCTACGGATGTCTCCACTGCTGCAATTGTCTTCTCAACCAACGGAGCTGGAGCCTCAGAACCCATGTTATTTCAATAAATAGAACACCACCAGAAATTCCCTAAAACACCAAGACTATAACAATTCATAAGTTCTTTATCCCTTTATTGATGATTTATGAAACCAAATCAACCACCCATTAGAAAGGGGAAAAAATTGTTTGCATTACAGAAATTGGGTATTACTTTGCAACCAAGTAAGTTGAGTTTGAATAGTGGTCAAATCAAAGAGTTTACTTTTAGCAGAAACCATACAATTTCTTTTTCTTTTTATTTTACCTTTTCTCTTTTGCAGAAATTGTTTCCTAAAACATCACAACTAACCACTTGAAGCATTTTCCCACCCAAACACATTTGATTTGCAGCCCAATTAAACCGTTTTCTTCATAAGTCAAGTTGATTTTACACCCCACCCCTCCCAAAAAAAAAAAGAATAAAGAGGCTCAAATTCCATCTAATTTACCCAAAAAAGCCTGATCAACCAAACAGATAAGCTTCATATAGAGTTTCAACATTTTGTTATCAATCAAAAAGGGCAACTTTAGAATCACAAAATCATCCATCTCAATAAATAATAAAACAGGAACAAAGATGACCCCAGATCAAAACCAAAGCCATAAAAGATTTACGACCAAAAACAAAAAACAAAATAAGTATAAAGACCCACCAAAACCAACTTCCAGGGCAACTTGTTAGAGACCCAAAAGAGACATAGCTGCGAAGACAAGGTGTGAAACAACCTTTTGAAGAACGAAAGAGTTGTGTAAAAGAGAGGAAATTTTGGGGTTAATGAGGAAAGCTCTTGTAGAGTGTTTCTTCGAGGAGAGAGAGTGTGTGGCGGGAGAAAAGAGTACACAGGGAAGCGCGTGGCCAGCAACTGACAAATGATGCATTGAACCAAGACACGTGGGCTTGACACGTGCCATTCTCCCTTTCACTTTTGTCTTGTTCCTCTATGCTGTGTGCCATCCCATTTGCTTATCACATGCTTCACACCTCAGCTTCCTATTTTAGATGGAGATTTAAGAAAAATAAATGCAATTTAGTAATATATATATATATATGAGGTAAAATATCTTAACTTTTTAAGTTTTAAATAAAATTATGTAAAAATATATTAATTTTTAAAATCGACACTCTATCTCAAAAATTAAACATAATTATCAAAAATTATAAAAAAATTAAAATATTTTTTATTAATTTAAAAAATTATTATTATATTTATAAAAAATAAAAAAAAATAAAAAACATCAATCAATACTCCCCAACTCACCAAAAAAGGGGAGCATTGGCCCGTGCTCCCCTTGGGAGCCTTGATCGAGCTCCCCATGGAAGCTCCAGTGCTCCCACATGTAGAGCTTTTTCTTTAATTAACAAAAAATAAAAAAATATAATAATTATTATAAATAATAATCAAGGATAAAATTATCTTTTTATTCTTATCACGTCAATAAGTTGACAAAAATACTAACGATTGATTAACGGCTAAACTTATATTATCCAATAAAAAATATTTTTTTGAAACAGAGTGTCCATTTCAAAAACTAATGAATTTTCATAAATTTAGGAATAAGAGTAGTTTATCCATATATATTTCTTATATTATTATGTATATAAAAATTGTTGTTTAGTCGGATTCAAATAACTATGGATTAGATTATTTCTATCTTTTTAAATTAGGTGTATATGTCATGAGATTATTACCTTCTCTTAAAAGATTAAGCTTATGGGTGTCCAGCATCATGCTTATAAGGTTTTCAAGATCTCTTGTCCCTTGGATATAGAATTGAAACACCTTTTCTAGTTCTTTTGAAACACTTGACGTAACAATCTCTCTCACCCTAATTCAATGATGCTTTTGTCATCATTAGTCACCTACTTGTCTTCATATAGAAGTGCTTGCCGTAGGTTTAAGTCAAGTTCGTTCTAATATCATTTGTCATAGAGCCATTTGCTCTTCTCAAAAGGTTAACTTGTTAGGGTTTATAGCATTCACGTTTATAGATTTTTTAAAATCTTGTTATTTATTCATTCGGGGATTGAAACATGTGACTGTATTTTCTTTGAAGTGTTTGGTGTGACACATTCACTAATGAAAACACTTCATTAATTTTACATATTTTTTTACTCTAATAAAATCACTTAATTTGTTCATTTTTCATGGAACTATACAAGATAATTAACTCAAAATTCAATCTCAATCTTTTTATTCAAATTGTAAAAGATAATTATTAACTACCATTAGACAAATAGCTTGTCATGACCAATTTTATCTTTTACACACAAAAGAGTGATCTCATCTCATAAACATAAAGCATAAATTGCTAAAAGAAAACAAAGAAAAAGCATTTTGATTTAATGTTGTGAAAAAAGGGAAAGAATTTTGATAAAATCTAAAATATAATTGTATAATATAAAGTAAAGGACTAATATTTTATATATGGTTGATAAAGTTTATAAACTCAACAAATATGACTACACGTTTAATTTAATAAATATGTATTATTATATTAATGTATTAAATAGAGTATTAATAAAAATGAGAAATTTTGAAGGAGTAAAGGTTTCTAAGTTTGGAAATGGAGAAGCGCGTGGTGGGCATAAGAAAGCAGGCGTGGGTGAAGGATTGAAAAAGACTAGGTCGGCGTGTGCCTCCACGAGCAAGCTTTGCCTTCCTTTAATGTTGACCATAAATCTTTGGTTCATGGAATTTGACGAAGTCTTTCATTCGACCGGATGCAATTTCGTTCCTCAGTTTGGAAAAATAAATGCTCGTACGCAACATTACGAGTGACTAATCATGGATACAAACCCAAATAATTAGTCAAAATCAATTCAATTTTGATCTTTTTTTGTTTCGATATCAATATTAATTGATTAAGGTGTGTGTGATTAATTCCCTTATTTCAATCCATTTTTTATGTTTAAAATTTTTAATTCAATAAATCCGTAAACTAATCGTTTACATTACATACATAAATATTATTAATATATATTTTATTTATAAAACATAATATCTAAAGAAACCTTTAAACTATTTTAAAAAAATTCAAATAATCCCTTATACTGCATTCAATCAAATTTTTATATTTTTATTTTGAATTAAATAAATAATTATGATTAATAATTGACTTAATCAAAATATCATTTGTCATTTTATGTCACATGACATTGATATGGCATACTAACATATTATAATTGTTAATAACATGTTATGTTGATATATCATAATTGATATTATAATGTGCTAATTTGACATAATAATATGACATTTTTCACTTTCTACATCAATATCACGTCAATATCATATAGACATAAAATGTCAATGGATATTTTGATTAATTACAATTAATCAACTATTAATCATAAAAATTTATTTAATTAAAAATAAAAATATAAAAATTAAAATAAATATAATAAAAATTAAAAATTTTCTTGAATAATTCATGAGCTTGTTTGCTATATGAATATTTTAAAATATAGATATAAAACTTGAGCAGACCAACCAAATTAATCAAACCAATTGAGATAATTTTTTTATTATAATTTGAACGGTTTTGATTATTTTTAAGAGAGTTTGGTTAATTCAATTTTTGAAATTTTAATATCAAACTGTCAGAATACTCACCCTTAGAGAAGATAAAAATAAAATAAAACAAAAGTTTTAAAGCTTTACAAACGAAATAGTGTTAATTTATGAATAGTTTTATTTAAATAATTATAGTAAAATAGACAAATGAAAATATTGTGACCCTGTTAGTTGAAGACCAGATTTCAGACATTGAGAGATTCGACATTATGATTAAATCTTGCAGCAGAGTGCAACATCACTCAAACCATGAATTGTACAAATGGAGTCTGGTATCTGCCAATATCTATAGACATTAGAACTATAGGGAGGGTTGCCTTTCAAGTTTATACATAGTAAGTATGGTGCAAATTAAATTACTGTCAAAGAAGAAATGTGCATCTGAACTTGGAACCTCAGGGCTGAGGCTCATGAGCAACCCAGCTGGAACCTACGCACCTTCATTCTTCCATTCAAGGCAAGGGCCAATACATCGTATTCCTCCACATACCACAGTTGAGACACCACCGCCTGAATCATATTGCCACGTCAAATGCATACACATCATATATGTACATGTGCACAGCCAAACAAGCATGTGTTAGCATACAATCCAGGCACCCTACTGCTATGCTTACAACATCATGATTTGTGCATGCTTTATTTATGTTCCTCCACAATATATTTCACAGCTAATTCCTAAGAGGAATGAATCACATGCTGAGAAAACAAAAGAGGGTAATAGAATTCTCTTTGCATTCTTCCAGAAATTAACTGTAAAAAGGCCTACCGTGCCATCCAGTTGCCACAGCTTAATATCTAAGTGCTTAGACATGCAGGAACAGGACACAATTTATATGAATGTCCTTGACAAAGCAGGCATTGCCTCACTTTGGGACAAGTTAAAAAGGTTCATTCCCAAGGCAGCCAAGTGCCACGGAACAAGGACCTTGCATTCCTGATAAAAACAATTTGTCTTCAGTTTTACAAACAAATTTACATCATGTTGCAGAGGAACAAACAAATCATGCTTTGTTTCTATCATATATATGCTTTATATTGACTTCTAAACAATTTTAGTTACCATTAGATGACTTTTCTACCAAAACATCCCAATACCACCAAGGAGCTCCAATTGGCTTTTGGAGAAAACCATGAATTAAAATCCATTTATATTCCCACCCTACTCAGTTAAAAACTCAACAATGAGCTTCAATATGAAAAGTACCAAATCTGGTGCTTTGGGATGTTTGACACAATGGTTAGCACATGATTTTCTCAACATGGAAATTTGGATTCTATTTCCTCATTGCAAAAGTTGTAGCTAAGAAGCAAAAAATTTGTATTAAAAATAATAACAGGCAAACCATGGAAAAAATTAATTTCAAAAAACTTATATTTGAGAAATCAATTAGACTAATTAGGAAAAAGAATTTTGTGAAAAGTAAAATATTTATACAAGGAAAAAATTGAAAGTACTCAAGAATTTTTTTTCTTTCTGGATAAAGGAATATTCAAGAATTTAGTGAAAAATTTGAAAAGCTTCGATACTAATTACAATTAATGCAAGAGTTATGGGGAGCAATTATAGCAATAAACAAAAGTAAAAACTTTTAAGTGTCAAATTGTGATTTCTAAGAAATTAGTGGGGTTGAATTAACTACAAAATGGGGAAAACTTGAAAGGTAAAACTGAGATTTTGACAAAGCCAGAAGGGTTGATTGTCAACACTCAGAAGAACCACCATCACTGTCAAGTTAAAGGTGCCTCTAAATGTGTCGGATCATGAACAGTAGCATGTGATGATTTCCTGCACATGCAGCTAGTCAAACACATGAAAATGCACATGACAAGTAATGATACAAAGTATACCAACTTGCCTTAAATCCATGGATTTTATTGTTTAGTTGAGTGACTAGTTTATGGAAGAGTTCAAGCTGCTTTGAAGTATTATCAGGGTCCTGCATAAAACATGAATGGTATACATATATGTAAGAATAGGTACTTGAAACCCATCAGATGATTCATGAAAACTTCTATTTGCCAATGGATCTAGAACAAGGACATTAAATATAAGCAGTTTTGCCAGAAATTTACATGCCGGCTAATGTGGCATAAAGTCACAGTTTACTCATACAAGAGTCAAGGGGAACCTTATGATGCTTAAGTCCATTAAGTCACAGCATATCTTCCAAAGAGGCAATCATCCATCTACCAAACCGCATTGTGCCATACCAATACATTGGCTTTCCCCCA